ATGGTGGTAAGTTTTTTAAAATCCAATGAGTGGATCACATAATATTTCAAAATTTTTAACTTTTGAGTATAGATGATTCGCACTGTATTATTCATCAGCAGTGTATAAAATTCAATGTAAAAGATCTTTCAACATCAACACCAGACACAGGAAGCCAAACATATTTTAATGCAATTGGACTTAATGTTGGGAATATATTTATCTTTTCATTCCAATAATTATTTAAGTTGAAATTTTCATCAAAATTTTCATGTAAATTACAATAAATTCCCCATTCATTCATGAGATTATCACTATAGTTGTTGAACTCCTTGATGACAAAGTATGTTGAAAAAGCATGATAATTGAAATTTGATTGAATACAATGAGGATCAAAACATCTGATTGCTTTAAACAAAGGAACTGCTGGATGATTTTCAATATGTTTTTTAAATTTGTCCAATGATAATTTAAATGCTTCTTTAAAAATGGCAATATAATAATCCAAATCCAAATAATAATCATTAATTAACCCCAAAACTCCATTGTTTAAAGGTGGTTGGCTGCAACCTGAAAGAAGCATTGCATTCGTTACTTCTAAATGTGTGGCAACATATGGTGCTACTGGCTTATTTCTAATTTTAAAGAATTCCAAATCATTTATTAATCTGTAAAAATAAAAATTATTAATTATTGGTTAGAGAAAAGTTATTAAAAAAAGTATGTGAACCATATTTTTTTACCCTGAAGAATTAAATTTAATAAAGCTAATGATTACTTCCAAATATATTTTTTTATTTGGATCTTCAAATATTTCTTTTAAATTTCTTAGGGATTTGATTTCTTCACTGACTACAATTCTGACTCAATAAATGATTCAATTAAATGAAAGTAAGATTGAATCCATATTAAAAAATTAAACCAACTGTTCCAACATGACTTCACTGGTACTGGTGGCAATGATGGTGATGAAATATTATATTAATATCAAATAAAATGTTCTCTCGAATGAATAAATAAATGGAATGGAATCAATGAAAAATAATTTTTTGTATATTTTTTTTACGCAATTTGTTCATTCTCCTGCGACCATTAAATATAGTGGTAATAAGAATCCCATTTAAAAAAAAGTATCCCATTTCGAAAATTACCGTTTATAATATAATTAAAAGTGCAACCATATTGTTGAACTATAACTCACAGTACGACAGGGCTATGTCATAACTATGTCGGAACTGTTTATCTTTTCTTTTAAGTGGTGCCAACCCGAATTAGGTAAATCAAAAAATAGTCCAGGTACAGTCAAACACTATAATTAAATTTTTGTGAAAAGATTATAATAATTATTATAATTAGTAATCTTGTCACAACAAAATTTTCTTGATGTGTGTTTGACTGTAACCTTACTTGGTGATCATATTGCATATATGGCACTTGCATAATGTCACATGACATATGCCGTAGTAGTGTTGTAATCTCAGGTGTTCATATGTTTGCACCCTTAAGTAAAGTAATGTGAAGGAGAATACTTGTCAAGTGTGTCGAATTAATAAATCAAGAAAATTGGGAAGGTTGTCAGAAGCTGCATCAAAAAAATAAAAGTTTGTGGTAGTTGTTATATGACTTAGATTTATAATCCTAATCGTAAAAATACAAGTTTTTTTGTTCTTTGCTATCAAACCTTTACCAGATATAAATAATTCATTCACTATCTAACAATTCTACTATTACTCCCACAACCAGCACCACTTCTACATCTACTACTACACCTACTATATATTACTTCTATTTTTACCATTAATCAAATTCAATTAATGAAAGTTAATAATTCAACTCAAATTCTCAAAGATATAAAAAGTTAGGAAATAAGTGCATCATAATAATATTGAACTTTTAAATAACCAAACTATTTTAGAAAGTTTCACGAAACTTTTTTAGTGATTAATTGTGGCAAACCCTGATCGGACAACCAATCATAATCAGTGTCTCAACCCGAATTCAAAAAAAAAAAGATCTTTTTATTTTTTAAAAAATAATGGTCTTAGATACTAATGTGTGGGATACAAAGTCACAACAATTTCATAGTGTGCAAGATTGGAAATTTTTAGATAATTTTGTAGAAGATTTTTCAGTTACTACTGGTGCGTTAGGTACACCAAAAGAAGCTTTGGAAGCATCAAAAGATTCAGTAGGTTACATATATGAATATTTAAATATGTAATTTCCGTCATTTTCATTTTCGTTTTCATTTTTTTCAATTTTCCGCCTTTTTCTTTATTTATTTAATTAATTCGTAACACGATAATATTTATTTAATTTATTTGGTAGAAATTAGTGACGATTAGAGATGCGATCCGCGGATATCCGTCATCCGTTCATCCGTCATTTATCTCAAAAAATCAATCCGTCATCCGTTAATTGCTCAAAAAATACATCCGTCGGATTCAAACGGATTATCCGGATCATCCGTGAAATTGAACGGATCATCCGCGGTTTGAACGGATAATTCAGCAATATTAGTATAAAATGTTACAAAAAGAGTAGTAATGCTAATAATTTATGACAATTCATTTATATTTATTATAAAGTTAATTCAGTGGGTGAATACATTCAACACAACTTGCATTTCTTTTTAAAAACAAAATTCGATTAATTAAATTTCCTGTGGATCCATCTGTTACATAACGTTTTTACAAGTCTTTTCGGTTGTAATTGGTACTTGGAATTCTGAACCTTTTTTACCATTAGGTAAATTTATTTCTGCAAACCAATTCCACACCCAACTTTTTTTTAATGGTACCTTTTTTAGTTTGTGTTTAGTA